TCGTCAGCAAAGAGAATGGGTTTCAGGTGTTGGGATATGTTTGGAAGATCATTGATGTAAATGAGGAAGAGCAGGGGTCCAAGGACACTTCCCTGCGGAACTCCAGTATCACGTGGCCGTATTGATGAGGCTGTGTCTTTAATGGTGACAACTGATATCTATTAGAAAGGTAGGATTTAAAATATTCAAGCGCATGAGCTCTTATACCATAGTGGTCAAGTTTGTGGAGTAGGATGTCGTCGTCTACTGTGTCAAACGCGTTTCTTAGGTCAATAAAAATTCCTAGCGGATATTCCTTATTTTCCAATGCTGTGTAAAGCAGGTCTAGCATTTTTATAATTGCATCATCAGTGCTTTTATTTTTCCTGAATCCAAATTGGCAGGGTTGAATATGTTTTGTGATGTTATAAATGAATATAGTCTCCTGTGCACGAGTTTCTAGAAGATTTTGGATAGCAATGGTAAGTTTGATATTGGCCTATAGTTGTTTACATCTGTAGGGTCACCACCTTTATGTATTGGTGTAACCCTTGCTGTCTTGAGTAGTGTCGGGAAAGTGCTAGTTTCTAGTGACTTGTTAAAAAGTAATGTAATAGCATGCGAAAGGGCATGGGCCGCTCGCTTGTACAGTAATGGTAGGACGTGAGACAGATTCCCCGAGTTATTTTTAAGTGACTTTATGATCGCGGTGACTTCCGTGGGCTCAGTTGGTACAAGATAGAAGGAATTTGGGAAATTCCCATCTAAGTAGTCCCCGGCATGGGCATTGCTACGTGGGATTTTACTGGCGAGATTAGATCCTATGTTTGAGAAGAAGTCGTTTATCTTGTTAGCTGTATCAGTGGGATGCAGTGGTGTTCCATGAGGTTTGGTTAGAACAATATTCTTGGTTTTTTTCAGTTTGTGGGTCCCCAGAATCTGGGAAAGTGTTTTCCAGGTCATTTTTATATCTCCTCTTGTGTCAGTGAATCTGCTGGAGTAGTACAGTTGTTTGGCTTTCTTTATTAATTTGTTGAGAACTGTTGAATATTGTTTAAGAATATCTTTGTGTATTAAGCCCTGTCTATATTGCTTTTCATATTGGTGTTTCTTATCACTGGATTTCAGAATGGTGCTGGTTAGCCATGGGCAACCAAGACGTTTATTTGTGATCTGTTTCGTTTTTATAGGACAATGTTTGTTGTATAGTCTAAGTATTTTGTTAAGAAAAATGTCTGTCCAATCGTCAATACCATTGGCCTTGGAGAATTCTGTAGGCCAGTCAACAGTCTCTAGGTCTGCTGTGAAATTCCTTATTGAGGCCTCGTCATGGAGTCTAAATGAAACTTTGTTGTATTCGAGTGGTGGCTTACTAATGTTTGTTAAGAGGAAGGTTGGGTAGTGGTCAGTAGTGCTGTCTATGATTATCCCTGATTTAAGGGGGGCTAGTATATTGGTCCATATGTGGTCTATTATGGTTGCACTTGTCTCAGTGAGCCTGGTTGGTTTAGTTATTGTTGGTATGAGAAGTGTGTTGTTCATATTGTTGATGAAATCAGTTAGTCTGATCATCTGGTAGGCCAAGCTTGATATTGAAGTCTCCAGCTAAGAGAAGGTGGTGCTTATTCATTTGTCTGTTATTAGTGCCTTGAGATTCTCACTGAAGTTTGGGATGTTTGTGTGGGGTATCTGGTAAATGGCACTGATTGTTATAGGCGTCTTGAGGTTTTTTACAGTAAAATTAGCAAAAATGTATTCCCCATATTCATCACTAAAGCAATTGGTGCTAATACAAGATAGTTGGTTAGAGTAATAGATTGCAGTACCACCCCCAACTTGGTATGGTCTGCAGTTGTGGATTGCTGTGTATCGTGGTAGTGGGTAGATATCAATTGTCCTGCTTAACCCATAAACGGTCCAAACGTATACTATATACGTTTTTTCAACATTTGAAAGCATGTAAAAAAAAGTAGGTCTTTTTTTTTTTTTTTTTTTTTTACATTTGAAAATGTGTAAAGAAAACTTAGATCTACTTTTGTAGCACTACACATGTGAAAGTAGATCTGCTTGGACCGTTTACGGGTTAAGCCAGGTCTCAGTAAGAATAATGCAGGAGAAGGGTGTCTATAGTGACTCAAGGAGTGCCAGGAGGTCATCATAGTGTTTACTTAAGGACCTGATGTTGTAGTTAAGAACTGATAGACTTTGAGCAGTGTTCAGGATAGTGCCGGCTTGTGATGCTTTGTAATAAAGGCAGTTACTTTCCAATAAGTTTTGATTGTGTGTTAGATTATGGAGGTTTAGATCAGGGTCAACATGATAATTCATCTTTTAGGTTTAAATAGTGGTTGTTTATATCTTGTATTATGTGGTGAGTTCTAATACTGATTTCTGTAGTGGTGGGAGGTTTGGATAAGTATACCGCTAAAGAACTTTGGTCATATAGAGTATAGTCACTAATAAACATAATGAAATTGATATTGTCTATGCGTTGTGCTAGAATGAACGAAAGTACAACTAGGTATAAACTAATACTATAAAAAACAAAAAACAAAAGACAAAGTGCTATACTATGTTTGTAGATATAAGGCATAATAAGCATTACTGGCAAGTAATGCTTATTAACCTGTAAACGGTCCAAACGTATATATACGTTTTTTCAACATTTGAAAGTATGTAAAAAAAGTAGATCTTCTTTTTTGTTTTGTACATTTGAAAATGTGTAAAAAAACTTTGATCTACTTTTGGAGCACTACATATATGAACGTAGATCTGCTTGAACCGTTTACGGGTTAAGAACATAAGTTCTTAATAAGCCTTGTTCAGGAATCAGATGTGATGACTCTGCATCGCGTGTAGTACCTGTTGGTTTAAGAGCGGCTCTCTTTCTGAGACACCGAGACAACTAGAGAGACAGGAAGACAGAAAGACAGGCAGACTGAAAGACATAAAAGCAGAGACAGGGATAAACATAGAGCTAGACAGACAAATAGACAGATAGAAACAGATAGATGGAAACAAAGAGATACAGACATGTTTGTGTAACAGTGAAAAATAAAGCCAAGGCAGCTCACAATCATCAAATGTCACTCCACTGCTGCACTGTCAACAGTGGTGTGACACTCGTCTTACACCGTGCTTCAAGGAGTTTCATATATGTACTATAGCATTTCTAAAACATTGCTGGGACCTGGTGAAAAAGGCCAAAATCATTTCTTATTTATAAATACATTTTTTCTTATTTAGAAACCTGTAACAAAAAAAAAATGGGGTGGTTTTTTTGGGGCTGGAATGGATTAATGGCATTTCAATTAAATTGAATGAGGAAAATTGATTTGATATACAAGCAAATTGAGTTACGAGCTTAGTCACAGAATGAATTAACCCTTTGACTGTCGCAACCCCAAATCCTGAAGTGTCTCCTATTGTCGAAAAATGTTAAAAAAAAAAAAAAAATTCTTATCAAAACGTTAAGATTAATTTTCTGATTGTTTTAAGCCCCCCCCCCCTTCCCCCAAAAATGCGATCAGTACTTACCGAGATATAGAAGAGTAAAGTTGGCAGAAAATGAGCCATGTATGGCAACAGCAGTGAATGCCGCTCATCCGGTAAACTTTGGTTTACTTCCATTCGAAGGTTTCTTGTTTTTTTTTTTTTTTCACTATTTTATTTTTTCACATAACTTATATATATACACTTGTGGTATGTAACACAATAATCACATAAACATTAATATCATTATATTGTTTACAAAACTTGTTTACACAAATGAACAATATAAAAAAAATTTTATTACTATTGTTCTATAAATATGTATACAAATGTACAATCACTGGACACTTTCCTAGAACTGCTGCAGCTTATGGAATTCTTTGAAACATGGGTGTATGCACAATGGTGTTTAATGTTCCTCACACATAAAACAAGTGTGTCTGCATTTTGGTGGGCGTTTTTTTTTTTTTTTTTTATGTGCACAGACTAAAACACCTCGTCTGAGCAGTTTTCTTCAAAGTATTAGCAGGCAGTTGGGTTAGGTTATCCTAGGTAAATGATCATGTGTCATCATTCCTACCTACCTATCTTTCATTCTTTCCTCCCTTCCTTCTTGTTTATATAATATATATACACACTTATATAGTCACTGGACACTTATATAGAACTGCTATTATCTTCTGGAAGCTTTGTATGTGTGTGTGTTTGGGGGGAGGACTCCTAAATGTGCCGAGTCAGGGTCCGGCAACTGTCAAAATGACATATTACTGGCTGTCAACACCCATGGGGTCCTATGTCTTCCTCAACACCTCCTCCTAACTACTGACCATTCTTTCTTTTTCTTTTTTTTTTCTTTCTTTATTTCTTTTTCTTTTATCTTTCTCTTCTTTTTCTTTCTCATTCTTTTTCTTTCTTTCCTTTTATTTTTCTTTTTTCTTTGTTTCTTCTGGTAACCTCGGCATTTCTTTCGGTCACAAACTTCTCAAAACCATGAAATTCATCTTCACTGACACTTCCATCTGTGTTAGAGCGATCACTTGGGAAGAGAAGAGTCGCAGATTAGCCGGGGAGTCACACATTTCTTACCGCTAGGCATGCTGAACAAGGACTACTGAAATGGCATTCCCACAATGCACCATTGGCTCCCCAGTTTTTTTTTATAGTGCACACACTGACCATGGAGACCCATTCTCTCACATGTGGACCTACCAGCTTTCTCCTGCTTGATTTGAAGCCGCTAGAATTTTGGCTTGTCAAACACATTGGCTCATAAGAAGTATACATACGACTGAAACATTCAGAGGGTTCAACTCCTAAGTCAAGGTACTATTGTAATAATTTTCCCCTCATTATTATCTTTTTTCCAAATTATTATTGTTGACCCTAAGCAGCTTAGTACTCGAACATATCACCATCGCCCCTTTCTCAGCTTTTGACCTCTACAATTTTTTTCAAGTCTTTGCCATTTCTGTTGTAACTTATTTTGAATTTTATTGAAAGTAAAAATTTATATACTTGTCACATTGCAGATGTCATGCAAGCATCATGGAGGAGAGAGTTTGCCATGCCCGGTATGTCAAGTATCTCTCACACCAGCTGATCTTATACCTGTAGAGAAGAGAAGAATTGAAAAACCCAAGGCGAGGTATTAGTCAAAAGTTACTTCAGTTAATGCCTTGTGTTGTGTGTGATAAATTAGAAGTGAGCTACTGCAGTAGTAATTTAATTATATAATTTCTGTACATCTTAATGAATTCTTTATTGATCAGTGACTTACTGTATTTATTCAGGTTCAGTAAACCATGTTTGAATTTTAACTTTGGAGTTTTACCTTTTTATTTCACCAGGATTTTGACTTCCCTGTCACTCTTATCTCGATTGCCTTCCTGGCACATGATGTTATCTTTTGTTGGATTTTTTTTTTTTTTTATTATTATACCAGCTGGCACCAACACTTAAGCCTTTCATGGTCCGTGCTGTAGATCTACGGCTTTACGTTCAGGGTCCGTGCCGTAGATCTATGCCATAAGCTCAGCTCACTCTGATAAGCTGTGAGCAGTAAATTTGGGCCTAGATATGAGAGAATACATCTATATGGTATGTGTGCACCACATAAAACAAATCCTGCAGCACACAGTGCATAATGAGAGAAAAAAAACTGAGACCGTAATTTTCGATTTAAACAGCGACTTTGCAGTGTTTTTTCGTATGTTTTCTATAGTTATATTTGTCGAGGGGGTTCGAAAGGAGATATGAAGGTTGAAGATCAACACACTTGTTGGATGGTAACACTATATTGCAGAGTGTGAGAAAGGGGAGCCCAACCTGCCGTGTGTTGCCTGGTAGACCTATGCGTGGACTGAGACCAAGGTAGCGTGTCCCACGCACTCATGCCGCATCCCGTGACGTCATACAAACAGTCACTAGGCCCAGCAAAGGGGTCGTGTATGTAAAACATATGGATGGTACAATGATACACAGATAAGCTATACAACACATGTACGGGATCAGCAACTATGCTGACAGGTCGGTCATGTTACGTATGTCGTCTCGACATACAATACTACACTATAGGCTGAACAGGCAGGTGGCTCTGGGCTGATTCTATACAATAACAAAGACATATGTAACTTAGAACTAATGGATGGTATCATAATGGATGTTAACATAATGGGTTTTAACGTAATGAGTTTTAATGTAATGCATTACGAATTATAAGAACAAATCATGGTATAATATAGGATGGAATTGATTGATCGATCTGTATTCATGCACTCTACGGATTCTGAGGAAGAAAAATTATATTTACAAAGGTGAAAGTAATTAACAGCAAAGGCAAGTCTGGCACACACAGATAAGTACTGATAAATTCTCAGAATTCTGAGGGAACGTGAACACAAAAAATTTCTGAAAAACTGATCAGCTAACAACAAAACACACCGTTGACAATTTCATTCATCTCGGACATCTAATTATACAGGCTATTTACGTTTAAACCCAACTCTGCGAGGGTAAGATTTACATATGCAGAATGGTTATCATCTCTGGGAGGATCGAATTACTTTGCAATGGCTGACACGTGCCTTGACTGAGGGAGATCTGAACAAGTATCTACAAAAGATACAGCTACATTCACTAGTGACTGTGGAATTACTAAATATACTCTTCTGCTAGGAGTACCCAACTTGGCTGTTCGATATAGTAATTCTTGACTCATGACAAGTCACTAATGGGTGCTAGTGGCTTCACAGTCAGAGTAAGATCTTCCTGGAGCAGGAATCGAATCACACCAGACCACAAGGGATTGGTTCTTTCTTACTGAAGGAATGAACAAACTTGGAGTGGCTGAGACTCCCCGGTTGAAAAAAAGTAACGCTATAACATGCAATATGAGCAACTGAGAGCGGATCTACTATCTCTCACTGCAAGCACAGGAGAAAAGAAATGAACACGGTCAACAGTACTGATATTCAGTCTGAGTTGCACACAGTGACACGAAGTATCAACTGTAAAGAGACTACACTTACAAACGTTAGCAACATGAAGATTACTCGAGAAACAACTTTATACATTTTAAGGATTACAGTCAACTAGGATGCTATCACCATCTGGAACACAAGGAACAACACCACCACCACTCAAGTGAATACACTAGCCACAGAAACGTCTTTCTGTAATGGCTTGCAACATCAGCAAGAGATGACATAACTCATTACAAGTAACGTTTTTCACAAAGCGTCCCCTGGAAGGAACGACTACTTGAACAAGTCGCCATCGCATGGATAGTAGTCTCAGCACCCAGGGTTGTCTGAGGTTCCTCTGAAACCCAAGGTAACTGTACACTATCCTGTGTGAACGATATTGTGGCTGGATTCCAGACAGGAGTGACCGCTCGGTTACGTTAATAAGTAATTCGCGGATCTATAGGAACTTAATCTGAACTTTACATTTTGCAGCACTTTAACAAATCTGATACAAGCTGTAAGAAAAAACACATTGCTCTAGGGCTAGGTATTGTCTTTCAGTCAGTAAGGGAATATTCGTACTGTGGACTGACTCGTATTGACTTTGACAGGCATGATACACTAAGTGAACAAGCAAAAGTGACTGGGACATCTTCTCAGGAAACTTACTCAAGGACATAAAAGCAAGAATGATAAGAGAATATATGACACAAAGCTGAAATGGGAGAAATTGCTTAACTATTCTGCATAAGTAAGGAAAAAAAAATAAGTCACTGTAGAGCAAGGAAACTCACATAAAACACTCAAATGGATAAACAACACTTTGAAAATCAAGAAAAATTGTACTTTACTTAAATCAAATTTACTCAAATTTACTTGAAATTGAATTAATGGCACAGTGAGTTGCCTTTACTCTCAATTCAATAAAGAAATTCAACAAAAAAATGATAAATCAATCAAAAATGATAAAATGGAATCAAATCTTGTGCAAAATTAAAACAAACTGGGAAGCAATTCTAAATAAAGGCAGTTAGGGTAAGATATAAACAGCTATTGGAGGATAGATGGGCTAATGAGAGCATAGGCAATGGGGTCGAAGAGGTATGGGGTAGGTTTAAATATGTAGTGTTAGTGTGTTCAGCAGAAGTTTGTGGTTACAGGAAAGTGGATGCGGGAGGGAAGAGGAACGATTGGTGGAATGATGATGTAAAGAGAGTATTCATTTTTTTTTATTAACACACTGGCCGATTCCCACCAAGGCAGGGTGGCCCGAAAAAGAAAAACTTTCAGCATCATTCACTCCATCACTGTCTTGCCAGAAGGGTGCCTTACACTACAGTTTCTAAACTGCAACATTAACACCCTTACTTCAGAGTGCAGGCACTGTACTTCCCATCTCCAGGACTCAAGTCCGGCCTGCCTGTTTCCCTGAATCCCTTCATAAATGTTACTTTGCTCACACTCCAACAGCACGTCAAGTATTAAAAACCATTTGTCTCCATTCACTCCTCTCAAACACGCTCACGCATGCCTACTGGAAGTTCAAGCCCCCCCACACACAAAACCTCCTTTACCCCCTCCCTCCAACCTTTCCTAGGCCGACCCCTACCCCGCCTTCCTTCCACTACAGACTGATACACTCTTGAAGTCATTCTGTTTCGCTCCATTCTCTCTGCATGTCCGAACCACCTCAGCAACCCTTCCTCAGCCCTGTGGACAACAGTTTTGGTAATCCCGCACCTCCTCCTAACTTCCAAACTACGAATTCTCTGCATTATATTCGCACCACACATTGCCCCGGACATGACATTTCCACTGCCTCCAGCCTTCTCCTCGCTGCAACATTCATCACCCATGCTTCACACCCATATAAGAGCATTGGTAAAACTATACTCTCATACATTCCCTACTTTGCCTCCAAGGACAAAGTTCTTTGTCCCCACAGACTCCTAAGTGCACCACTCACCCTTTTCCCCTCATCAATTCTATGATTCACCTCATCTTTCATAGACCCATCCGCTGACACGTCCACTCCCAAATATCTGAATACATTCACCTCCTCCATACTCTCTCCCTCCAATCTGATATCCAATCTTTCATCACCTAATCTTTTTGTTATCCTCATAACCTTACTCTTTCCTGTATTCACTTTTAATTTTCTTCTTTTGCATACCCTACCAAATTCATCGACCAACCTCTGCAACTTCTCTTCAGAATCTCCCAAGAGCACAGTGTCATCAGCAACGAGCAACTGTGACAACTCCCACTTTGTGTGATTTTTTATCTTTTAACTCCACGCCTCTTGCCAAGACCCTCGCATTTACTTCTCTTACAACCCCATCTATAAATATATTAAACAACCACGGTGACATCACACATCCTTGTCTAAGGCCTACTTTTACTGGGAAATAATTTCCCTCTTTCCTACATACACTAACTTGAGCCTCACTATCCTCGTAAAAACTCTTCACTGCTTTCAGTAACCTACCTCCTACACCATACACCTGCAACATCTGCCACATTGCCCCCCTATCCACCCTGTCATATGCCTTTTCCAAATCCATAAATGCCACAAAAACCTCTTGAGCCTTATCTAAATACTGTTCACTTATATGTTTCACTGTAAACACCTGGTCCACACACCCCCTACCTTTCCTAAAGCCTCCTTGTTCATCTGCTATCCTATTCTCCATCTTACTCTTAATTCTTTCAATAATAACTCTACACTTTACCAGGTATACTCAACAGACTTCTTCCCCTATAATTTTTGCACTCTCTTTTGTCTCCTTTGTCTTTATATAAAGGAACTATGCATGCTCTCTGCCAATCCCTAGGTACCTTACCCTCTTCCATACATTTATTAAATAATTGCACCAACCACTCCAAAACTATATCCCCACCTGCTTTTAACATTTCTATCTTTATCCCATCAATCCCGGCTGCCTTACCCCCTTTCATTTTACCTACTGCCTCACAAACTTACCCCACACTCACAACTGGCTCTTCCTCACTCCTACAAGATGTTCCTCCTTGTCCTATACACGAAATCATAGCTTCCCTATCTTCATCAACATTTAACAATTCCTCAAAATATTCCTTCCATCTTCCCAATACCTCTAACTTTCCATTTAATAACTCTCCTCTCCTATTTTTAACTGACAAATCCATTTGTTCTCTAGGCTTCCTTAACTTGTTAATCTCACTCCAAAACTTTCTTATTTTCAACAAAATTTGTTGGCAACATCTCACCCACTCTCTCATTTGCTATCTTTTTACATTGCTTCGCCACTCTCTTAACCTCTCTCTTTTTCTCCATATACTCTTCCCTCCTTGCATCACTTCTACTT